TATATATAATGTATGTAAATTATATCTAACAATAATTAGTATAAATTTGGTCATTTTATAATACTTATATATTTTTGTTTGTATATCTAATATCTAATACCTAAAATATGATTTTTAATATTACTATATATGAGACGCTCAGTTTAATATATTATAAGCAAAAGTGTGATGTCGCAATCGTTGCTAAAATAGGAAGAGAATAACTTTTGTGTAAATAGAAATTGTTACAATAATGAAATGTAATTTTAACTGCCTGATAAAAATGGTACTTAATATTAATAATACTGTATTGGACCAACCCAAAGCATTCTAAAATTAACAAATAATTGGCGATCATAGAGTAAGTGCCCTATGTAAAAATTGTGTCTTCTTCCATGTGTGAAGAGGAGTTAAATAACAAATTATATATCTAATAATAGAAAGGAAAGAGTATCACTTAAACAATTTACACATATTTTAGAATAATTGATTAAACAATATCAAAATATTTGTTTTTATTCCAGAACAATGCTATGCAAAATATGCATTTTACTTTGCACATTGGTATCTTTCAGATTGTCTTTTAAGATCGCACGCGCGGGTGTGTGTGTGTGTGTGTGTGTAATAAAATTATAATATATTATATATATAATATTTTATATAAAAAGTTATATAAAATATTTCATGTTACACATGTATTTGACAATATACATGTTGTTTAGTAAAGAAGGTTGTGTATACAATAATATTAATTACTAATTATTATAAGATATTCTATTGTGAAATAAAGCATAAAAATATTGAATATGAATTCTACATTTTAATTATTTGGATATAGTTATATGATATAATTATATGTTATAAAAAAATGAATGAAAAATAGCACATTTTTTCATAGATAATTTTTTTTATGGTAGAAACTTTTTGGAGGAAAGAAATTCCAATCTATAAGTCTGCAATTAGAGTTTTGCTATATATTTTCTTTAAACAAGATTTATTCATTAAATTTTCCTTAAATATTTCAATTCATGACATAGCCATATTATGGTGCTTAAAAGTATAAGACTACCAGACTGATGGGAAGCAGCTAGTGTTAAAGGAACGTGATTTAATAAGGTCGAGATGCCTAAAAGTACTTGAAGATAACCAGCGCAAAGTACAGCAACAACTGCCTTTCTTCCTCGATTAGGAAGTTTATGTTTACGGGACATAACACCCAAACAAGTTATTAATGCTATAGTAGCAATTCCCTGTAGAAAGACTATATATATTGCACTGTGAAATATAATCTAATGATGAATAATAAATGATTGTATATATGTAGCTTACCAAAATCCTGTGATCAAATTGGACTGTAGTTGGATTTTCCGTGAAATTTTTTAATATGGGAGACATGGCAAGTATATCATCGGGTATCCATTTATCTGCCATTTTTGGGAAGGTATTATATATAAGACCAGCATCCATGCCAGCTACAAATGCTCCCGACAAAGCGGTGAAAAATATCAATCCTTTTGCTGAGTAAATTAATCCTTTAAATCTTTTTATCGTCTTTAGTGCATTATTTGTAACTTTGATATCAGAGAAATTAATCAAATGATCCAAAGCATTATAAAGAAATCCAGTATATATAAGCAATGCTAATCCAAGATGCGCAGCTAAACGATATTGTGATACCCGCGGTACATCGGAAGGTTCTACAAAACGATCTTCTAATCCAGATTTAACCATATACCATCCCATGAGTCCTTGTAAGCCAATTAGTGAACCTAAAGCAACAATCCGTGTTTTCATTCCATGTTTGAGCATACCCTTAAACCAAAAATATGTTGCTGGTATTATAAATATAGTGCCAATCAAACGTCCCCACATTCTATGCAAATATTCCATCCACCAAATACGTTTAAATTCTTCCAATGTCATATTCAGATTGGTTCTACAGAAAATATATATGTTAATAACACGTGTATCTCTCGCAGCATCATTATTTATGTCAATTTTTTTTATATTATCAATATGTTGCATATATGTATTTCTTACATTTTATATTCAGGAAATTGTTTGTAGCGTTCAAATTCTGAAAACCATTGAATTTCATTGAGAGGCATTTTTTCTCCTAATAATCTCCAAGTAACCATAGATAAACCTGATTCCGTAAGTCGTGTTATGCCACCTGGATATATATATATATATATATAAGGAGAAATAATTTACTACTATTTTATAAATAAGTTTTATTTATGTTATACATGTATATGTAATGCTTATTATAAAGACTATGTAAATTTTAATTAGATAACATTTTAAATCTCATAGAACACATATACTATTACACTTAAAATTCTATTTTCCATATGTCTTTTCCGTAATAATCTTCATTATGTTGCAAATATAATAATAATATACAAAATAAATAATAGTACCTAGCGCAACTGCTACAAAAACCATACCGCCACAAGTGAGCAACCAAGATCCCACAATTTTGTCATATTTATTACTCCTTTTTGAAACATAACCACGAATTGCAATATTCGCTTGTTTAAGTGGCCTCTGTCAATTGTTAGATATAATACGTACATTAGTATATAAGTTTATACAATATATTGAAAATGCAAAACGCAGCTACACACGTGTACTACGCATATACATATGGAAAAGAGAGAGAATTTATTACCTTTTGTAACAGGGATGAACAATATTTTTTCAAGGAAATATCGTTACATCGAATGATGTCGATTCTTGCATCCGTGAAAAGACATTGTCGACTAAGAGCATATTTTGTAATATTATATGCTCCGAATATTTTTGTACGATATCTCGCGATATTCAACATGTTATAATTATCAAAGAGTTTATTATCATACGATAAATGTCAATAAAACGTACACACAAAAGCATTCTGCACACAAATATACATGTTAACGCGCGGAAATATATGCATGAGACATTAGTAGAAATCTTTCTCGAAAAGGGCGAAAAGGTACGAGAAGAGTACATCAAAGTATAATACATTGATCTAGTTTCCACCGAAGTCGTCAATCCGATTCTGTTTCGCATCGAATTTAACGTACTGTTTCCACTAAAAGTAGAATAGAAGCGAGGAAGATTGATATTTCAGTAGAGCCAACTTAACTTTTGCTTGTGAATCTAAATAAACATAACCCTTGACAAATTTCTCGTTTATTTTCCATTTTGATAATTAATACAAACAAACGGTAAGGGTGCCATTACATGGAGCGCGGAAACGCGGATTAGCGTAACGCGGAACGAGAGTGAAACCAATCGCGAGCATTCTGCAGTTTTTGTTACGCTAATCCGCGTTTCCGCGCTTCATGTATAATGGCGCCCTGACTGTTACGAACATCAGCATTTAGATTAGACTATATATCGACTATATATTGATGGTTACGAAATAATGAAAAGTAAAGGTTGGCACCATCTACTTTCAAGTGTTTCCATCGTCTAGATTTCGTGTCAATTTGCTGCCACTCCGACAAAGCTTGTAGATCGGAGTGAGAGTGAAATGAACGCAGTCAGTCGTATTTCCATCGACTTAAATTTAGTCCTACGCCGCACTAGATGCGAATTAATACTTCGGTGGAAACTAGACCAGTAATACATATAAAGTATATACATATATTCATTGAACTCTATACATACTGGAATAAGCGATCCCATTGTTTGGCTGTCGCCACTATTTCGCCGAGAGAGAGGTGCGTTTGGATGATGGCATCTTTAAGCCCTAAAACTTAAGAAATTGACCAATCACAATCAAGAATGAGGAGAATACTCGACTGTGATTAGTCAATTTCTTAAGGCTTAGAGCTTAAATCATCTATTGTAGATCGGCACTTAGGGCCACCGCACAAGCTCTTTGCGTTGACTGAAGTTTAAGATTACGTACGAGTTTAGATTTAGAATCAGTACTTAACGTAACGTAATGCATTACGGAAAAGCTTGTGCGGTGGCCCTTATTTAGGGCCGCGGCACATAGAAAAACTTAAGTAGTAAGACTTAAGACTTAAGAATTTCAACTATACGGAATTTTCAGCATAGCTTACGTTTCAATATGGCTGCCTTACTGTTCGATCGTGATTGGTCAATTCGCTAGTCTTACTGCTTAAGTTTTTTTATGTGCCACGCCCCTTATCCTTGTTGTTCACTGAATGTTAAACAAGAAAAAGATTCACTAAAGTATCTACGATTTCATTCGCCAAAATCTAGTAAATTTGTTCACTTTTGTAATTTTCATTTCGTCTCAAGAGGTTTGTTCCCGTTGCTTGAACTTTTTGCCCTCAGTATCTTCGCTTTCACTTTCTTCAACATCCGAATATATATTTATCTCGTTTTCAGTGCAGAAATTTTTGGGAATTTCAAGCAACGCGAACAAACCTAAAGCCCGTATCAGACTACGCATTGAAAATTGAAGATTGAAGATTAAAGATTGGAATTTGATTAATCAAAACAAAAAGGACTAAAATTTCTTTGTCCTGATTGATCAAATTTCAATCTTGAATCTTGAATCTCAATCTTCAATGCGTAGTCTGATACGGGCTTAAGGATACATAATCGACTCTCTGCACACAGGACGCGGAAACGCTTGCCGCGCGGCAAAAGGCGACGCGGTAGCCAATCAATTTTTTGCTCTAATGGAAAAGTTGTAAGTTGATTGGCTACCGCGTCGCCTTTTGCCGCACGGCAAGCGTTTCCGCGTCCTGTGTGCAGAAGCCATCAGATTATTGTATGTCTATGGTTGAAATCTTTTAAGAGAGAAAAAAAGAAATGAAGAGAGATTTGTTCTTTGTCTTTGTCCTTCCATTTTTCGTTTTCCATTTTTCATTTCCGTTTTCAACACTGGCATAGCACTGGCTCTCAGATTCTCAGACTTTTACTTGAGGATAATTGAGGGTTTGACGATTGAAGTTGAGAGTAGAGAATACTTGTATCTGATTCTCTCATTGAAATGGCGAATTTGATCAAGAAACGCCATGCTGACAATAATCACATGGAGGTATCGTATTAGATTAGTTTTGTTTTTTGTAGCGATTTAGTTTTTTATGTGAACTTCCTGCACTATATATAGCGTATGTACACCAAAAATGTAATAGATATTCAGAAGTTGGGAAACAAGAGATGAAAAACAAAAAGTTCAGTTCAGACTTCTACATTATATATAAAATATATATAAAAATCTGTGGTTTAGCTACAAAAGAAGAACAAATCTTGAACTTATATTGTCGTGTGAAAGCTTTGTTTAAAGAATAACTATATGTTTTTGTAACTGATAGAATTGATTAATGAAAACACAATTCTCATTTATATTATGCATTACTCAATACTTATTCTTCACATTATTTTTTACGATATGTTATATATCATGATTCATTCTATTTAGTCTATCTTTTAGGTAGAGACAATTAATGGTATACAGGGAAAAGTAAAGCAGTATACAGCTAAAAAAAGAGCTAAGAATGTACAAGGTGGAGAACAAAGAAAAGTAAAATAACAAAGTGTTATATGTGTATATATTTAGTAATATATTGTGTGTATGTGTCTTTACACTTTAATTTTACATAATAATATTTGTTGTAGATATTAGTACCAGCACATAGATATTCGCCTCTAAAAGAAAATTGGTTGAAAATATCTGCGCCCATTGTTGAACATTTAAAATTACAAGTTCGCTTCAATCTGAAAACCAGAAATGTTGAAATTAGAACAGCGCCAGAAACTCCTGATATTGCGCATCTCCAAAAAGCAGCGGATTTTGTGAAAGCATTTATTTATGGATTTGAAGTGGACGATGCTTTGGCTTTATTGCGTCTGGATGACCTTTTTGTGGAATCGTTTGAAATACAAGATGTTAGACAACAAATAAAAGGTGATCACCAGTCTAGAGCAATTGGCAGATTGGCAGGCAAAGGTGGAAGAACAAAATTCACTATTGAAAACGTAACAAAGACAAGAATTGTGCTAGCAGATACTAAGATACACATACTTGGTTCTTTTCAAAACATACAGTTAGCTCGTAGGGCAATATGCAATTTAATTTTAGGTAGTCCACCTTCTAAAGTATATGGACAACTAAGAAATATAGCTAGTAAGATTTCAAAACAATACTGACAGTTATCTATACTTGTTTTTATTGCATATGTACATATATAATTTTTTTTTCTTTATTAAGAGTTTGTAATAATAAATATGTTCTTAGCTACAGTTACATGCTGCATACATTTCCTTCATTGAAAAGTAGATGCCATATAATATATAATTACAAATATAAGGAGGAACAAAATAAACAGTAGCAGAATACAGTAGATGCATTTTATATTTAGTATGCATATATATTCTGTGTATCATATATATAGTAGTTGCTTTCCATTTACATCAAAACTCAGATAATTCTCACTTGTGATGTCATAACTCAGTTGAATGCACGTTCCTTTTGATGCTAGCAAGTGAGATTCAACTGAGTTTTTACGTGGTTTCTGCACACGATCGAGACCGTGTGCTTTAGTGAGTCTAATAGACTCATATTAAAAGTGAGGTTATAAATCTGTATTGTTATGCGATAGCTTTGTTACCAAAATAAGCAGGTCAATGACGTCATTGTCTGAGTATGAAATACATAACTGAGTGACTCAGTATCACTTGAGTGCAAATGGAAAACAACTAGTAACAAATACACACACATCAATTAGAAATGTGGTTGTAGAGAAAAATTTATAATAAATAACGAAATGTGATAATATTGATGAAGTAATATATATATATATATTCTATCAAATAATTTAACCTTATCATAATAATTTATAATATATTCATAAAAGTATTTGATATTTATATTTACGTGGTACTTTATTAAGAACTAATCTACCATCATAACTAAGAGATGCAAATGTCCAGGGATCGGCAGACGACCATTCCACCGCGTACACGCTATCTTCGTGCTCTTCGTATCTTCCTACAAGACCATCTTCTAATCTGAAATAATATGATTCTTTTTCTAATCCATTTGTATAAATTGAATAATTTAGTACTTCTTTTATATTCAATAGTACTTTGTACTACAATAGTACAAAGTACTATTGAATTGTAAAATATATTTCCGTTTACTTTCTTTTTCCACAAGATTCGTCATTTTGCGAAACAAATTCATCTTCAGTCGACACCATATGTCCAAATGGTTCAGATGAGATAGATGCAATACTATATAAAATCACTCTAGAATCACTGCTGGATGTTAAAACAAGCTGATCGTGAAAACGATTAATTCTTATGTTCCATACCCAATGTGAGTGCTCCATACGCGATAGTACCGGTTCTGTCGGTAATCGAATATCCCAAAATTTCATATATCCATCGTCACCACAGGTGGATAGAAAATACTGACGATTTGCATTAAAATCTAAATCCCTGCAAGACAAATTGTATGTTAAAATAAAAGCAAAAGTGCTTCAATTCCTTTCAATGTCAAGAAGTAATTTTTACATTATTTATTACCTAATGATTTGCGAATGTGCAGATAAAATAGACCAAGCAGCATTGGCTGGGTTTCTAAAATCCCACCCACGTACATTATTTTCATTCAAAGTTACAAACTGATTGGCACCATTATGAGGATTCCATTTACCATTTGTAAATCGTGGCTGACCTTTGCCTGCCAAAGTACCAGATGCTACTACCTGAATGAAATACAGAAAGATTATAAAATGCTTTAAATGTTTCATAACGATAATAGGATTACATTCGCGGAGAGTATAATCTTGGGTAAATGAAGAAGTAATAATCACCTGTAGTCCTTTGTTTGCTAAATCCCACAAAGCAAAATTATTATCTACTACAGAAACAATCTTTTTACAGTCTATAGGATGATAGGCAATAGTTTTAAGATCAGTGCCATACGAGGTTGTATCAATATCTGCTAATTTATAGAGTTGTAAAATGTCATTCGTGTACTCTTTTATCTCAGGAAATTTCCAAATAGCTCCTTTCATTTGACAAGTGCCTTCCTCTAAAAAAGTAATGCCGATAAAAATTATTAGAAAACATTTAAAACCACAAAGAAACATAAGTATTACTAAATTCAAGGTGTTTATTCGATTTGACAATAAAAAGATATTATTTTCAAAAATTGAAGATGCACATGCGACACTAAGGCTTATTTACCATTCAAATGGTTATAACATGTAATAAATACATCAGGTTCGGTTGGAGAAGCCTGTAAGGACCAAATTTCTCCTAGTGGATGCTGAAATACTTGAGTCTTTAAATTTCCTGTTTCCTCATTAAGTTCCACCAAGTGAATCTGATTATTGTTAAAGTTTAAAGATTGTGTTCCTATCAAAAATCTTACAGCATCGGTCTCAGCCGTTTGAGCAGACAGTGCTCTAGTCTAAATATAAAAAAACAGAGAGTATTACTTTAATATAATTATTTATTAACATCATACTTATATAAATAATCGTATGAAACTTTATTATTTAGCAACAATATGAAATAACGTAAAGTAAAAGAGAAAATATAGATTTTCATTCGCATAATTAATTTATACTTGGAATTCGAGTCCATATATGACAGGATTATCATTTTCCATTTTTAAGTCTTCTTCTTCTTCTTTGTTTATTTATCTCTGGTTAAAAAACTCGTGTGCAAACCGATGTGTATTTATGTACAATTTTTTGATATATATGGGCTGTGTTCCAAAATTCACTGCCAGTAATGGAAATCTATAGTTCATGTAATAGCTTCTGCACACAGGCGCGGAAACGCTTGCCGCGCGGCAAAAGACCACGCGGTAGCCAATCAACTTACAACTTTTCTATTAGAACGAAAAATTTAGAGCTTGAAAGATTGACGTTGCTTTTTGCCGCGCGGCAAGTATTTCCGCGTCCTGTGTGCAGAAGCCATAAAACCCGTATCGGACTATGCATTGAAAATTGAAGATTGAAGATTAAAGATTGGAATTTGACTAAGGCCGGTATTCATAGTCCGGTCTTATATCCAAGATCGTCTTAAGTACGATCTTAAGATACTATGCGGCCATTTCATTGGTTGAATGGGATCTTAAGACGACCCAAGACCACACTTAAGACGATCTTGGATATAAGACCGGACTATGAATACCGGCCTAAGTCCGGATCTACAATAGATGCTTGTTTGCTTGCTTGGGTTTGGGATTGGCTCCAGCGAATACTCGCTATACGACCATAAACTGGTTGGGTTATATATGTAAGTTCCTCTTGGGGGAAGGAGAGAAGGAAGGAATTTGGGAGGTGGTAGGAAAGGAAAAATAGGAAAGCGCAGGCCAGGGTCGAGTCGGGAATCGAACCCGAGATTTCTGGGATGTGAGTCAGGCGCGCTACTCCCTGAGCCACCAGAGGCCCCTCTACACTAGATGTAGTAAGCCTCAAGCTTAGAACATATATAAATGGAAGGGGAATGCCTTTGTTTCCCGATAGAAAAACATGTCGGAAGGAAGTAAGAAAGAAAATCATAGTTGCCTCTCTCTTGTGAGTAACTCTGCTCAAAAGTGCGCATGCACGGCCATGTGTGTGTACACAAAAGTATGTATACTACAGACACGATGCTGGTATGTGTAGTTACTCCCAAGAGAGAGAGGCAACTACGATTTCTTTCTCACTTCCTTTTTCGACACTTTTCAGCCTGCTATTCCCCTTCCATTTATATATGTTCTAAGGTCTCAAGCCATAAGAAATTGATCAATCACAATCAAATGCGAGAAGAATAATGAATTGTTAGTGCCGATCTGCAATAGGTGATTTAAGCCCTAAGCCTTAAGAAATTGACCGATCACAGTCAAGTATGAGGAGAATACTCGACTGTGATTAGTCAATTTCTTAAGGCTTAGGGCTTAAAATCTTATTGTAGACGCCACTTAAGCCCTAAGCGAGTCGGCCAACTCCCATCTTTTATAACTTAGGGCTTGAGGCTAGGATCGATGCCATAGACATAGTATATCTGGACCGAGTGTTGAGGAGTGGGGGCCAATGCCCACGTAGAAAAGGACATACTCTGTTTCGTGCCCCTTGCGTTCTCTCTCGCTCGCACGTAGCATGATGAAAGAGAGCGCTATGCTCTGTGCGAGCGAGAGAGAACGCAAGGGGCACGAAACAGAGTATGTCCTTTTCTACGTGTATCTTTACCCCCACTCCTTAAATAAAGGCAAACGCTCGGTCTAGATATACTATGTCTATGGATCGATGTAATTTTTCTCTTAAAACAAAGGCTAAATCTTAAATCACCTATTGTAGACCGGCATTTATTGGTAATTTTTATACGGCTTAAGGCTTACTACATCTATTGTAGATCCGGTCTAATCAGAACGAAAGGGACTAAAATTTTTTTTATTCTGATTGGTCTAATTTCAATCTTGAATCTTGAATCTCAATCTTCAATGCATAGCCTGATACGGGCTTAACGTATATTATAGATTCCCAGTACTGGATACCGATCATGTAACTTTTTCCCTAGGGCGGAAACGTGAAAAATATTAGCATTGAAATCAATAGCAAAATTTTTCACTTTTCACTTTTCCGCCCTAGGGGAAAAGTTACATGATCGATACCCTGGCAGTGAATTTTGGAACACGTATGGAATTAAGCCTATCGCACAATGCTAGGCGATAATGATAGCGATAGGCAATATCCAATGAGAGCACTGCTTTTTCAAAAAAGCAGTACTCTCATTGGATATCGCCTATCATTATCGCTTAGCATTGTGCGATAGGCTTTAATCTTTTTATAATCCATAAAGCCCGTATCAGACTACGCATTGAAGATTGAGGTTGAAGGTCGAAGATTGAAATTTGACCAATCAGGACAAAGAAATTTTAGTCCCTTTTATTCTGATTAGTCAAATTTCAATCTTTAATCTTCAATCTTCAATTTTCAATGCGTAATCTGATACGGCATTGCGGACGCGGATCGGATTTGGATTACGGACTGCGAATCGTCAATCATCCAATCAGATCCTTGGCTACTTCGCTTTGATTGGATGAATGACGATTTGCAGTCCGTACTCCAAATCCGATTCGAATCCGCAATGCATAGTGTGACACGGGCTTAACCGTGGTTATAGGTTATAGTTGATTGTTGATTGTTCGGAGCTTTGTGGTTTTGTGGCAATTTATAGATTAATAAGGTATTTTTGGTTATGGCTATGTCTCCAAATTTTGATTTAAAAGAGAGACTAAATATTTGTTTCAAAGATGCAACGGCTCTGAATCTACTATGCAGAAGTATATCTTCCGGTACGTATTTTATATACATACATATATACAATATTATCACATGTATGTAACTTACGCATTTATATATTTCCTTTTTTAAAATATTTTTTTATTTTATTGTCTAATATAAGATTAATGAATAATAGTAGCAATAAGAAGAGATCAAAATTAGGTTTTAACATTAGCCTTGTTTTAAAATGTAATTTATATAACAATCTGCATTAATTTCTTTTATTATTTTTCTAGCATCAACTAATTGTAATTTTAGGTCATATGCTTATATAAATTGTCTTTTGATTTTTTCTATAGCTATCTTGTGTGATATCTTATGTGTGATTCAACTTTAGATTTTATTTGTTATACACACATATGCACACATATGTACACATACAAAATTAAGAATCAATCCAATTATAAGTTATGAAGGACATTAAAATACTTTTTTTTTCAGAAATAGAATCAGGTTCAATGAAACTTAGCACATTTGTAGAAACACTAGGCTTCTATATGACGGATCAAAATGTTCTCACAAGGGAAAAAGGGGTTACAGCTCTTTCTTCTGTTTTGTCACAGCTACCCCAAGATTATCTTACTGAGTCAGAATTGTATTTTATTACAATGTTTTATTGTGATAGGATAAAAGATCATTATAATATCATACCATCTGTGTTGAATGGTATTCTAGCACTTGTGAGCATTTATTTTAGAGGCCATCTTTCTCTGTAGATCTTGTAAACCTTTTTTCTTGTCAAATGTTTATTCTTAAACTTTGTTTTAGGTAAACATGACTCATTTACCTCAAAATGCACCATCATCACTGTTAAGAGTTATGTTCGACCATGTTCAATGTCAGTCTCAGTTATTATCAGAACGTCGCAAAATATATGTAATATTCAAAATCTTGATAGAAAACAAACTAGATGATTTGAAATCTATGGGATCAGATTTAATTTATGGTATTATTAATTCTATTGATGGTGAAAGAGATCCAAACAATCTTATGTTATTGTTCAATGTACTACCACATTTTATAAAAAAATTTCCATTGGGACATTTAGCTGAAGAAATGTTTGAAGTTATGGCATGTTATTTCCCAGTTGATTTCAATCCTGTAATTATATTTATTTTTATTTGCTTTATGCGATATTAAAAAAAATATAAATATATGAATTATAAATATTGTTTACAGTCTGGCACAGAGGATTTAAATGTGACACGAGAAGATTTGGCAAAAAGATTGATTCCCTGCTTATGTATTATTCCAGAGTTTGCCGATTATTGTATTCCTCTTATAGTTGACAAATTATATTCCACCCATAGGATTGCTAAACTTGATTCTTTAAATCTATTGCGCGAAGGCATTAAAACATTTGGGCTGTTGAAAGTGAAATCGTATCTACCAGAATTATGGACAATTTTAAAGAAAGAAATTATGCCAGGAAAGGACATCGAAATAAAAAATGCTGCTTTAGAAGCAATAACATCTTTAATTAAAGTTATATCAATCGATGAAGCTATTTGCAAAAATTTCATTGACCAAATAATTATTGACATAAAATTATTTCTATCCGATGTGCAACTTACTTTTTATAGACCTGCTCAGGGATTTTTGGAGACTATAGCAATAATTAGTAAAACAATATGTGTGCAAATCTTGCAAGCTGTAATACCTTTATGTATCGGTCAATACTCTACGAGAAATTCCTCAAATGATAAAATTGCATTGATAGAAACTTTAAATAATTTTGTGAAAATTTCTTCTTATCATGGCTTTTGTATTCAAGGTAAGTTGCATTAAAACAAAATGAATGTTGCATGCTATAGGAATTTTTAACTTATAACACCATATCGCTATTATTGCGTTTTGTGAATTGTGTATGTAATGATGTTAATATATATTTTATATATATGCGAAATATGTAGACGTTCCAGAATTAGCATGGACAAATATACTTCAAATATATTTGGATGATTTGACAGTTGACAATATAGAGTTGAAAAGCAAAATATTTGTCGGTTTAACAATCCAAAAGGCTTATTTAAACGATGTACAACGCACTATATTCTATAATGCGATATGCGATGAAATTGAAATAGGTTGCATCGAAATACAGATTATATGTCATACAGCTATTGTAGATTTTGCTACATTGTATCTTCAAGAAATATTATTGCTAATTAAAGACAGATTATTATCAAATACAGGTGAGTTATAAAAATGTATATACAGTTAACTAATTTATGTATAATTGCCAATAGGAGTGTCAATAATATTATTGGAATATTTCAGATAAAACGAGAGTAGAAATACTGAAACATAGGATAAAAGCTTTGACAGCAGTTGCAAAAATATATGAATTAGGTTATGTAATTCTCCCACAAATTGTCACAATGTCAACAAACAATATTAATATTGACATATGTATTACAGCATTACTGAATATCCAGAAACTAATTGCTTCAAAGAAATCTGATTTCAATATACATCGATTTCTATATAAGGAATGTCACATTATTGATAAATTAATTTCATACAAGACAAATGTGGTTGATCATAAAATGTTGATATCTAATGTTTGCCAATTAATTGTACGAAATCTTACAATTGAAGAACAATGCACAATTGTAGCAAAGTATGCTGTGGCTTTAAATATAAAAACTTCGAAAACTGACGTGACTATAATAATGAATCTTTTCATTCCTTTACGGAAAGATATCAACTTGAATATTAGCAATGATATGGTGGAAAATTTGTATAATCTTGCAATCAACAGTCGCAGTCCGGATGTAAAGCAAACAAGCTGTAAATTTTTATCCGTTTTATTAAATAAAATGGAGATGGCAGATCTTAGTCGAATTGTACCTTATCTCGAAGACAAGATAAATAATAATTTAAAAGCAGATAATGATATCGAACTAAAGCAGAATACAGTTAACTTTCAAATTTGGATAACTAAAGCATTTATTACGAGAGGATATGGCAAGTCTCAATATTTCTTGGAAAATGTATGTGCGATTTAATATATAATTATAACACATAATGCTTTAATATGCAAAAAATGATCAAATTGATACATTATATTGTTTTCACAGCTTACACATCTACTAATTCACGACGAAATGGGTCAATTTCTAAGCGAACAATATCAAATTTTAGTAAGTAAATACGAAGATACTTTAATAGAGGAAAATTTCTGTAATATAAAAATATTTTATAAACAAAGAGTGTTTGAATATTTGTTGCAACAAACTATTAGTTTTACAAACTCAAGTAGGCAGAATTACCTTATCGCTTTGGTACATTTATTGGAACAAATGCCTGAAGAATTATTATTTTTGCATTTGACTGGGGTAAGTTTCTTGCTAATCTTTTGGTGATAAAAAATAATAAATTTTACAATAAAATTGTGATTAATATATCGCGTTATTAGTTGGTGCCATTGCTGATCGAATCTCTAGCTCTTAGCAATGAGTATTTAATTCTTCGGACTTTGACGTCGCTTAAACTTTTACTCGATACAAAACACGACATATTTTTTGATAATGTACAGTGTGTCATACCAAGACTTATGCAACTATCAGCACATCGAATTATGGTAATTACTCGCATCAACTGTAATTTTTCAAACCATTTAGTTTGTTATTATGTAATCTTATATATTTCGATATATTAATAGGGTGTTAGAATCGCGGCTCTGGAATGCCTGGCGCATTACGCCTATTATCCCACTGTTTTAATCAATCCGTACAAGCAAGTTGTATTAGACAAATTGGGGGTAATAATCGATGATCGCAAACGTTTAGTCAGGAAAGCTGCCGTGGAAGCGAGAATACGATGGTTTATAGCAGGTGCATCTGGGTCCAAAGAATGAACAATATTGCAGTTTAGTTTTACATATAAATTCGTCTAATATATGATTATATATATTTTATATTTTTCGCCTTATTTTATATATTCTGAAAAATGTAAATTTCTTATTGTTAAATATTTTTTTAATATACAGACAAGTGATATTTATAAATTGGTATATACAGTTGCCTTTATTTGGATATTTATAATATTATTCACAATATATTTTTTCCTAAGCATCTTCTCTAAGGTTTCCTAATAACTATTTATTTCCTGGATATCTTTCTTAATCGAGTAAAGAATTGATCTTTATGTAAGTGGATTAAAATCACGACCGAACTAGCTTAGATACGCTCAGTGGGTATAACGCAAACATGGGCGATGGTGAGAATATAATATTCACGCTTCACTTTACTTTAGGATATTATTAATATTCTACTTTTATCATAGTGTCAATTAGATAGAAGTGAAATATCGAAGAATTTTTCTCAAATTTTTCAATTTAATACAAATTAAATTTTTCATCAAATATTTATGCATGACACACATGTATGCGCTTTTGTAGGTGTGGTAAAGAATGGTGCATATAAATATGATGATAATACAAAATATATCGGAGATTGGAATCGTAAGGGATTGAAACACGGTGCCGGTTTGTTAATTCTTCCGGACGGGACACGATATGAAGGAGCATTTCAGAATGGATTATGTTCTGGCTTGGGAGTTATTATATTTCCCGATGGAGCAAAGTAATAAGTTACATCGCAAATTTATTTCGCGTTTTTATATCGCGTTCCATTTAATAATATCGTTGCATTTATAAAAAAAAGTACATTTTTCATTCTTAGATACGAAGGCGAGTTTATGCAAGGATGGTTTCATGGCCATGGTGTATTTTGGAGAGCCGACGGTATGAAATTCGAAGGGGAATTTCGCGGGGGTCGTGTCTGGGGCTTAGGTAGGCGTGAATCAGATTATAATAAATAATTATGGAACTTTATAATTTCTTAATACGAAAAGAGTGTTGTGACTGTTTTTAGACCAAGAGTTTTTTATATAAGTTGCATGTGTGTAACCGTTTACAATTAGTTATATATTAGTTATATATTATTTATTGGATAGGTTTAGTGACTTATGCCGATGGATCGCATGGATTTCCAAGGAATGAAGGTTTTTTTCAAGATTGCAGATTAGTAAGACGACGACGTTGTCCGGATATAGTACAAAAAGCGCAAAAAATTTCCATGATGGCACGTGCGCAATGTAGTTGAACGGGAATAGACATTTAGAGCTAGTACATACATATAATTAAAAAAGAAGACATATATAGGTAGTCTTCGTTCACTAGAGTCCGTATTTCTCTCTGCAAATATTGATATAATATTAACAAAAATAAAAACACATCTATATGTGTCTATATATATTTTTATACATTGATATTCGTATTTAAGAGAGAGAGTGAGAGAGAGAGAGAGAGTCTTATAATTTCTTCCTTATATTGTGTCAAATATCGTCGGCATTTCTGCTCACGCGTGCGAGTAAAACTTTAATTTTTTAAACATTTTTCGAGCAAATAGTATACGGTTGAAAAATGAAAATATCTATTTTTACACACATATTAGCTATATAAAATTAAAATTTAAACGCAAACAATATTTGTGATGTCAATTTCTTGAATTCAGAACGAAATGTTATTATAACGAGTTCAAAAGAAAAAGTTGGAGAGAGGGAACAACAAGGCTAGACTACTTTTCGCTCAGAGAGGCGTGGTCTCCAAGCCGGATGTTCCAGTTTTGAAGGCACGAAGGTACTAAGGGATAATACCAACATCAATGTATAAAAACGCGCTTTTAATGTTTTGGAACAACAATATATTATTACTATTTCGATTTCATATTTTGTTATGCATTCTATCGAACATTTTACTGGAACATGAAGAGAGATCGAAATTTTAAATTTATAAATTTAATTTAAAACTATATAAGGGTATATGTACACGAGTAAGTTTTACATATTTTCCTACATTTCATATCCTATTTTCTTTTATTTTATTTGAGCGAAAAGATCTTCAAAAATTTTTTAAATATACAATATATTCTTGTTAAGAATAATGTGTTAAATAATAAATTACAAACAAAAAGAGCACAACGTACAGCAAAATAAAAACACAAAAGTTATTAAAATAGAATAATATTCAAGGAGAAAGATAGAAAGAAATATTCGATTTTCGAAAAGAGCATTATCTAATTTGTATATAAAACTTCATAAAAAAATACACACTTCACAAAAAAATGCAATATTTATAAATTATTCTTATTGGAACGGTATATGAAATTTAACGAGGAGTAAGACGTTCGCGCGCACAATGGCGCAATATTAAATTTATCCTTGACACTCTCTCTCCCACTGTAGGGAACTTGTGTACATTGAAAGATTTTGTGGTTCGTCGTTTGTCCGCTAAGTATAAAAGTACCGATTGTCATCGAGAGTAGCATTCGTATTTCGGCACAGACGCAGAATACTCATCGCAAGATTTTTCTAAATAAATACAATGGCAGTTAAGGTACGTTATACGTGTATATCATTTAATATAATTCACAATCGTATAACTAGATTTATTTGTCAGACTCATAAGATAAGAATAATATATAAATCGCATGGTTGAAAATTTATAAATCAATATTAATGGAAATCCTATATTTCAGCTATTTGTAATAGTTTGCGTTTTGGCCGCGGCCAATGCCGGCTATGTTGGAGTGTCTCCCACCCTACAATATCAAATCGCACCAATAGCGCATGTTCAACCCCATGCTATTACGTCGACATCCGATAATATATTACGTAGCCATGGTAATTTGGCACAAATAGCTACGCAAACGAAAACCATCGATACGCCTTTCTCTAGTTCGAGCAAGACTGACATTCGCGTAAGCAATCCGGCTATCACGTACGCGCACTTCGCTCATCCAGCTACTCCATTGTACACTGATGCAGCTGCAGCCATACCGGTGTCGGCGGCTATACGTGCTCCGGCCGCTCTTGGAGTCGCTTACTCGCCGGCGGTCGAGGTATCTCACATGAGCTATAACAGTCCAATTGGAGTTGCTTACGCCTACTAAATAGAATCGGTTACATACTCGTCAGCTTTTTTCTTTTCATATAATATAATAGATAAGTAAATATATGTATATGGACACATATTTATATCCAAATATTCTTCAACAATTGTAATTTGTGTACGCAACGAAATACACATGTTTTTTTAATGACATTACACATAGTTGCGCAATATAAAAATCATTTTATAAAACTTTCATACAAGTTCTCCATTTTTTTCAATCTGTAAAAATTAATTCATTCCGAATAATTTAATCACGTCAACTTTGAATTACGAATAATACACGATAGAAATTACATAATACATACTACCGTAAAATACATCGCAAAAAAAAAATTATGCATATGAAAAAAAAAAATTATGTATATGAAAATATGTATATGTAAAAAAAAAATTATGTATATGAAAATTTATTTGTATATGATGGATGTATTGGGCAAAACGTTTTCTCTGAGAAATACAATAAAGTTCAAATATCTTGTATATCGAATTTTTTATTACTAATTTATGTCTTTTGTTTGGTCCTTGTTAATAATTTCTAGAATTTAAAATGGGGGAAAATCTTTTTTGATAGAAAAACAAGCTGAAAATTGTGCAAATTAGAAACTTGCACATTGCTTCCTCATCATTTTATTTCGCTCACAAAGCTTAAGCTCCTTAAAGCAAGCGGGTTTTTTAATTTTGGCTTCCTCATAAAGGAAGATATCTCAAAATTTACGAAAGTTAGGAATGTTTAGACTAGTGTACAGACATTTCCCAAAAAATTCAAAATTTTATAAAAAATAAATTCTTTCACCGATCCTCACTAAATTCAATACCAACCATCCTTTAATAATGCTTTATTCATGTAAAATAATTTAACTCGATATCTCAAAATTTGCGAAAGTTAAAGCGTGTACAGACATCTCTTAAAAAATTAAAAATTTTATAAAAGATGAACCTTTTCACCGATTCTCACCAAATTCAATACCAACCATCCTTTAATAATATTTTATCCATGTAAAAAAATTTAACTAGATATCTCAAAAATTGCGGAAGTTAGAGGTTGCACAACATATCGCGTATATACATACATACATACATTTTTTAGGAATATGATTTTTCGACGTTTTCGAACATTCTGAACACATCGGCATAAAAAATACGAAAAAAAATTTTGTCACGAAAATAAAGCTTCCTCTATGAGGAAGCAAAAATTTAGCTTTAGAAAATTGTGAAATGTGTATATATTAGCGAATTGTGTCTATATCTGATTAAGGGCGGTGTATTCTGCTGCAACGTATGATGGTATGTGGCGGTGGCATGTTTTATATATCATTCAACGCGACAAATTTAGCTTGTTAGCTTTTAAGTCCTAATCCCAGAGGCGCAGCTAATCCGATAGTGGGTTGAGCCCATGCAGCGGTAGGAGCGGCGGCGATCAATGGCGCTGTAACATTTAATATTTAATGTTTATTTAAATAGATGGACAGAGAGAGAAAGAGAAAGAGAGAGAGAGAGAGAGGGGGGGGGGAAGAGAGAACAGAAGGAAGAGAGAGGGGGGGGGGGAGAAGGGAGGGAGGAAAAGAGAGAAAAACTGGGAGAAAGACTTATATTTCTTCGCAAATTGATCATCTGCAAGAAAATTACAGTGAATTCCATATTATATGGGTTGTTTGATGGAGAGCGATATACATTATATGTATAATTTACATTATATCTATACGTAAATTATTAATGTCATCTCGCGATGACGCAACATGTCTTTTGTCTTCCTTTTAAAGATATCCGTCTCATTTTTTGACTAATATATGCAGTCTCGCGAGACATTGCAGATGGGCGAATGTGGGACGCGTACGTTTGTTTCTTTTAGAAATCGTTGTATAAATCATACTAGAATAATTAATTGAAAATCGGCAAAAATGAGACAAACAGAAAAAAATATCATCTCGCGATTGTTACAGAGATATATAAAATCGTTATGATAATGAGAATAATGTTAATTTTAATTTTTTTTTCAATGCTATTGCATAATATTTTGCGTGTTTTTATCTTATAATAAAAGATTATCTATACCTTTTAAGATGGGAGCGGCAACAATCGTTGTTGGCAATGCGATCGCAGCTGGTTTAATAGCAATAGCCGCGGATGCGAGTGCGGGTGCCGCAATCAAGCCGCTATAAACGCTAAGATTCGCGATAGCCAAAAGGCAATCACAGATTACCAAGAACTGCAAAATTTAATAATGCTGATTAATCTCCAAAAATTTTAAATTTCTAAGTAAATGTTCCGCCGTAACAAATCAGTAAATATTAATTGACTTTTCGATTACATTATTTTGTATCTCTATTCGTATTGGAACATTTACACAAAAATGCCATACAAGCTTATTGATAATCGCGCGTTTCTTCTCCTCTGGATTCAAATATTAGTAATTGCGTAGTGTATATTTGCTGCTTTGTAGAAATTAATATAAAAGTAACGAAATCAACATTTCCGATCCAAAATTGTCGACTGTTCTATGTATATATATATATATATATATACACATACATACACACAGATTAATACAAACAGCTATATACATGATCAATTTCTTATACCGCATCTTATGTATATATAAATACAGATATGTATATACATTATGTGTATATCTGTACGTATATACGAGATATTATCGCGTGCATTCAAATTACGAACGAATTTCGTGTAATATTAGTCTAATGACAATCGACGCAAGCATCATGATTGACTTCCTTTTTTCTTCGCTTGATGATCAATGATTTTAATTTAACAATTTGTGAGGGAGGGACGGCGAGAGACGGAGAGAACAGACCTTATAAATACAAAATCACCCCAACGTGATGATCTGATTTATACGAGTTTACGAGAAACAAGAAATATCGAAAAGTTTCA